ATTTTATTTTATTTTATTTTTTGTCTTATTCCCATTTTTTCTTTTTGCATTTCAAAGCTCCACGTAGAACCTTCTTACGTTTCATCAGTGTAAAATGTGAATTCTTGCCATTTTTTTCAACCGGTCTTAAAGTTTTGATCAGGATGCTTCGTAAGAAGCATTTCAAGCTCCTGAAGTGGCCAGTATAACCCCAAAGAAAACCTTTGAAGAGAATTGAAAGTCCATGTTGCCCAGTGACAGCCCCAAAACATCACTGCTCTAGAGGAGATCTGCATGGAGGAATGGGCCAACATACCAGCAACAGTGTGTGCCAACCTTGTGAAGACTTACAGAAAATATTTGACCTCTGTCATTCCCAACAAAGTATATATAACAAAATATTTAGAATGTCTTTTGTTATTGACCAAATACCTATTTTCCACCATAATTTGCAAATAAATTCTTTTAAAAAATTAGACAATGTGATTTTCTACATGTTTCTCATTTTGTCTCTCATAGTTGAGGTCTAACTATGATGTCAATTACAGACCTCTCATCTCTTTAAGTGGGAGAACTTGAACAATTGGTGGCTGACTAAATACTTTTTTCGCCCGYTGTAAGAGTGAATAAATTAAGTATTCTATGAATAAAACTCCATTAAAGTTTACTCACTAATCTTTGTTAGTCCATAAACCTAAATTATACCCTGTTGTAAGTTGCTAAAAATGATTTTTAATATATTGCACATGATTTGTAAACATTGAAAGACTTTTGAACAATATGTAAGAATTTTATACCATCTTTGATGGCTCCTTTAGAACTTTGATCCCTGTGCCTCTGTTATATGTTTGTGACAAAACTTTGTATATGTTTTAATAACTTTTAAAGGAAACGTATCAAACTTTTTAATCTTTGCTTTTCACAGTTAAATCATTCAATTTTGGTCTATATACAATGATTTGGTCTGAATTCCTCGTAGCTCCACAGAACCCTCCTTTACCCCTATTCTGAGGTGTGTCTGAGAGCAATTAAAATTTTCTGCGTTCCTAGAGACTCCAAGWACACAGCAAAGTGCATTTAATTGCAAAAAAATGTGGATTTTTCAGGATAAGAGTCTTTTAAAGATTAATCTGAACTCACTCCCTCATTGTTTTATCCTCGTCCTCCTGCGTTGTTGTATATCAGAAGGAATATACTGACATCCACCACTTCTCACTTCCTTCCTTCTTCTCCAACAGTCTTCAGGAGGCTCTCAGCCAGGCCTCCCAGCCTTCTACTTCTCTGTGGAAAACGCAGCCATCCAGAACCCCTTCCCAAGTGACAGTTCTTAGTGCAAGTGTCTCCCTGTTGGCCAGGAATGGAAGTATGCCCCTGGAAGGTTCTCAGGACAAGGCCTCAACTGTTGGTACTTCCAGCTTACAGGATGACTTTGGTAGGACGCACACCAAGAGAGCCAAGCTGTCATTGGTTTTTACCCACTGCCAAAAAAAGGCAAAAGCATTGTCTGTGTGTTTGTGGGTCTGCTTGTTAGCAAAATATCTATAGCTGATAACTTTTGGGGTCGAATCAATTCAAGGTGGCAGTCACAGTCAGCTGACCTTAGAAAAAAATGGCTATAGTTAAGTCATTTTATTGTGCTAAAATTTGGTCTGATTGTAGCTAAAAGTCATTCATAGCATACAACCATTGTGAAAGTTATGCGTTTCAAAATGTAGCATTACCTGTTGCAGGCCACTCTGTCAGCAAAGTAGCAGATGTTTTTTCTATAAATGTAGACATTTTTACACAACATAATGTATTAGTCACAAATTTCGTCTTACGTTTATTTATTTACACTTAGGTAATATTTGAAATGTTTTCCACCACCCTGGTACCTACTTTTGTCAGACTAGTGAAAGGTAAACAAAAGACAAAGAAATCCAATGAGGTCTTTGTAATTTCTGGTC